CACTACCCCCATCTTCCACCCCCCAAAAAACAACACCAACTAGAAGGATGTCCCGTCTGAATGCCCAGACTTCTTTGGGGTTCATCCAGGCCTCTCCACCTCCTGCTCCCCCATCCACACTGGCTACAGACTGGGTTAGCCTGCTGACCTGTGTCAGGGTCAGTCAATAAAGTCATTGGATCTATTGTGCGTTCCCTGCCCCAGCCTCTGAGGGAGACACAGTGGAGTACAACCACGGTCAAGGGTGATGACCGCCTAGTTTCTCATTAGCCCATTTCTTTTTTAGAGGAGCCTATATAATAAAAGGCTAATGTGCAAATTGTCCCCTTGACCCGGAGTTTGACCAGGGATCGGGCCAGCCGGCCAAACCAACTGCCCACAGCCCCTCCCCTGGCCAGCCCCACCCCCTGATCGCCCCCACCCCCACCCCTATCCAGGGCGGGGCAGGCCTGCCAGACCCCACCCATGCATGAATTCATGCACAGGGCCTCTAGTAGAGTCATAAAACATTATCTGGAAAGAACTTTCGCGCTCATCCTGGCAATAAAATAGCTGGTGTTTGTTGGGAGCTGTCTGTGTACTAAGACGTCACAATTATTAACTAATCTTCACAGCCCCTGTTCAATAATTAGGAAACTGAGGCACAGGACGGTTCCTCAAGATCATGCAACTGCTACAAAGGAAGTGGCCAGGATTTCCATCTTGTCAGTCTGGAGTCTGTACCCAACTTACCCACAGTCCTCTTGGAGAATGTGACAAAAAGCTATGGAGCCCCCTGGGAAATGGACTTTCAAACACAATTTTGCATACAATTTAAGGAGGGGAGGGGAGTGGACTCCGTGAAACTCAATCCACATATCCCCAGGATGGACCCCCAATTTAGCCCAACTCATTTGTTTTTCAGAATGTAGAAACTGAAGCCCAGAGAGGGGACGTGAACACCCCAAGGCCACCCAGCCAGTGAGGGTGAGGACTAGACCCCAGGGCCCAGCCTTCTCCTATGTCTGTGCAGGAAGTAGGAGGTAGTGAGGCTTCTGGCTGGGGATGGGGTCTTGGGGTCCGGTCAGGAGTTTCCAGCGTAAGGTGAAGGGTTGTCACTAATTTGAAAAGAGAGCAAGATGTAAACAGTTTGGACCACGTGTCCCTGACTCCTGACACCACTGCCCCCAAACAGCTGCCCTTCCAGATGCCTCAGCCCCTCCCCCCCCCCACGTGGGCCCTGTCCATGCCACCAGGAACAGGGTGCCAAGGAAGAGTAAAGCAGCGGCAGGCAAGCCATAGCCTGCAGCTGTGACATTCACCCCCCACCCCCAGCCATCTTGCCAGCCAGGCACTGATGGCACCGATTTCCCCATCCCAACTCCAGCCTGGGGAGGGGAAGGGAAGGGAAGGGAGGAGGGTCTTCCCCCACCCAAGCTGTCCCCAGCCTGTGGCCATGGGGGAGGGGCTGTAGTTGTGGAAAGTTGGCAGAGGCAGCCAGCAGCAGCCGGGAGAGTGGAAAAAATGATATCAAACCCGGAAAAATGCAGGCCGGATGGAGGGCCTGAGTCGGCCCTGGGAGGTGAGAAGGAGGGAGGGCAGAAGAGAGGGAGGGATGGGGCCCCACAGGCTGAGAAAGGAAGAGGGGCCAGGGAGAGAGCACAGGAGCTATTTCTGAGAAAACTGAAGACTCTCCTATCATTCTTTTCTTCATCCACTAATACTTATCCAGAGCCTACTAAGTGCAGGACACAGTGCCAGGCTCTGGGGAGATGGCAATGAATAGTACGAATAGGACGCTGTTCCTGGAGGCTGTTCCTGGAGCTCACAGTTGGGGGAGGGGGGGAAGGGGAGCAGATGGAAAACAAGTGAATAAAATAATTACAAACTTAGAAGGAGCTAAAAGTCAGGGTGGTCATAGAGGGTTCTAAAGACAGTCCTATCCACTCAACTCACAGGTGGGGCAACTGAGGGCCAGAGAGAGAGAGGGCTTACCTGAGGCTCCTGGGAGTGTGAAAGAAATCACTGAGACCAGGATTGGGGCCTGGGGGGTTTGGGGGAGTGGAAAGGGAGGGAAGAAATAAATAAATAGCGCAGGCCAATGGGGGGGGGGGGAGAAATAATATGCAGCCCGAAACATGGGTGAGGTCAAGGACCCTGAACCAGGGGGTCTGTGTTCAAAACCTACTCTCCTGCACCTCTGTGTGCCTTAGTTTCCCCATCTGTAAAATAAAGATTCATGACAAATCCTTCCCTCGGAGAGTGATGTGAGGGATAAATGACTTATGATGTGTAAAGTACTTAAAGCAGT